GCACAAATCTTAGACGCTATTGTGACATCACTCATGAAATTGGAACTCCTTGTGAATAAGGTTTCCACAGCGATTCACCTTTAGAAACCTAAACTCAATTCTCGATGCATCTTTCATCTACCGATTGAGCAAAAAAAAATGACCAAATATTGCGATTTGTGGACGCACGTGCATCATTTGGCATAAGAACATGGGGCGTTTATGTGATGGGAAAAAGTGGAGGATAATTAATCATAAAATAAATGCTACGTCATTTATGGATGGTCCCAATTGGCGAGTTAAATTTAACCCGTGGTTAAAAGTGACAAGCGTAGTTATTTCTGACCGACTAGAAACAAAATTTTGGCAACCGTGGCTGAGTTCTGTTTGAAAACCGATCGATCGAAAACACCGAGATTTTCGAACATATAAAATAACTTTCGAAAAGTCACGTTTAACCACGAGTTTTTTTTTTCTTCTGTTCAGGACCTAACACCACTGCGACCAGTAATTTGATCTATTGTAGTATATCCCGTGTCCGTAGTTTAGTGCATGTCATGTCGTATTACTCCATCACTTTTGAGAAATGATGAAGTAACCGATTTTTTACAGTTGTCATTCTCGCATTCATCGCAAGGATCCGACTCTAATTGAAAGGTACCGTTATTTATACCCTTTGGAGTGTTGAAACACTCTCCAAAGGCGCGCCCCTTTGTCAGTCAAAATTGGATTCCTTAGCAACAAAATTAAGGACTGACACCGATAATGACCATGCATCAGAACCCTAGTCTTAACCACTTCAAACTAGGGAACAACGAATAGAAGATTAGGAATCACATAGATGAAGACTAATTAACTCATTTTTTCCTTGTTCCAAGATCGTCCTCGGTCCAGGCAACCCGAGGACAAGGACTAAGATGTGTTCCTTTGATCAAGGTTGCAAATACTGATTTCAGCTAAAATAATGTTTTTCCGAATAATAAAACCAAAAGATGGCATGTTTTACTTGTAACTTACAAGAAGAGGTTACAAAGTATGCGTTTGAAACATAAAACCTGTAAATTTTGCATTCTATTAGTCACAATCAGCAATTTTCTGATCGCTGAGTGAGTGAGTGAGTGAGTGAGTGAGTTAGTGAGTGAGTGAGTGATTGTGTGAAAAATCACTGATTGTGACTCTCATGAAGTGAAATAAACAGGTTTAATATGTAAAACACATTCTTTGCAACCTCTTCTTGTATCCTACCAATTCAAAATATGATCATGGCATCTAATTATTTCATAATTAAAAAAAAAACATTGTTTTAGCTGAAATGAGTATTTGCAACCATGCCTGTTCCCTGTTTGAAGCAAGGTTTCAAATACTCATTTCAGCTAAAACAATTTTTTTTTAATTATGAAATAATTAGATGCCATGATCATATTTTGAATTGGTAGGATACAAGAAGAGGTTGCAAAGAATATGTTTTACATATTAAACCTGTTTATTTCACTTCATGAGAGTCACTATCAGCGATATGTTTTACATATTAAACCTGTTTATTTCACTTCATGAGAGTCACAATCAGCGATTTTTCACACTCTCACTCACTCACTCACTTACTCACAATGTTTTTTTAGTTATGAAATAATTAGATGCTATGATCATATTTTGAATAGGTAAGATACAAGAAGAGATTGCAAAGAATGTGTTTGAGATATTAAACCTGTTTATTTCACTTCATGAGAGTCACAATCAGCGATTTTTCACACACTCACTCACTCACTCACTCACTCACTCACTCACTCACTCACTCACTCACTCACTCACTCACTCACTCAGCGATCAGCAAATCGCTGATTGTGACTCATAGAAAGCAAAATTTTCAGATTTTATGTTTCAAACGCATACTGTGTAAGCTCTTCTTGTAAGTTACAAATAAAACATGTCATCACACCATCTTTTGGTTTTATTATTCCGAAAAACATAATTTTAGCTGAAATGAGTATTTGCATCCTTGGTTTGAAGTAGTCAAGACTAGGAAGTAGTCATGTTAACTTACATGACGATCATCTGCATTATGATAATTCCCATGGTCAATTATGTAGAATTACACATTTTCTCGTGTTTTAAATTACATGTTTTTACATTGGCAAAATGTTTACTTAAAAAAATATGCAATTTCACAACACTTTTTTTGATGTGCGAGCAGTAGGAAAATTATACATTTGACATAAAGTCAAAACATCTGCTACATCTTAAATGACCGATACATAGTTCGAAAAAGTAGTGTAAATTTCTGTTCAATATGATGCACATAAATGGAACGTCACATATTATATACGTTTACATTATGTATCATGTACAGTTCTGACATATTTCATGCAATGTAGCAAATATTGTATACAAAAGCCCATCTTTGTGAACAACATTGGTTACAAGTGGCTCCTTTGCGTGAAATGAAACACAAGATTACATGGATGAATGTTTACATCACAATTAAAATTCAGAATTTTTTGCTGTGTAGCCATTGCAAATTTCGGACTAATAGGACTAATCACACACGTCAAAATTAATTAAGACTGCCAGCTACATCCAACATAAACGCAACAAAACACTTTGCTCCAAATCTCCGTAAAGATATCCAGTTCTTGAAGCTGTTAATTTAGATGTTTCGAACTGACGACCGAAATTTGCATGAATCATGCTTTAGTATAACGTTATATAGAAAACTTGCTGTATTTTTTGCAACGTGATACATAGGGTTAACTACCCCATTTCCAGCCTATTAGCACAACTCGCACTTAGTCTTTCTTAATCTAGCGTAGTTTAGCACCAAACGGAATATTATTATTACTGATGGCTTCCAAATGTATTCATCTTTCCGTACGTAGCGTAAGATTTGATAAAGAGAAACAAATTGTTGAGATATTGTCAAAAGTCTAACACTGCTTCTTGACACCAATCTCGGGATTCTAAACTCGGCCTAGCGCTTTGAAAAGCCAATGAATTCACTTCGGCCTATCGGATGAAGATAAAGATTGATTCGGTCGGAGCGCTTCATTTGTGCTCGAGAATATTGGGTGCAAACATTCGTTCTTATTGACTTTGTTCGGTAGCATTTGAACTAAAGTATCGTCCCAAATGCATAATTTACCTGTTAACGCCGAAATCATGGATTTATTTGATGTTTTCTGCTTGATAGGCCCAAAATGGGTGCTTAGGCCTAAGCAGTTCTCTACCCTATACCATGTTTAATCATAGAGGAAAAGGATGAGCTGTTAAATTAGTGCACACGGCACATGAGAACGACCCAAATTTGAGTTTAGTTTACTCATCAATTACATAAAGTATAGGAGCTCAGCGATGAGTAAATTTGTCTTATGTGATTTCAGGTTTGTCCAGGAAAAAAATCCCGAATATGATAAAAGTAAAGATTGGACTCACTCAGTCTATTGGTACTACTCCTAGACTGAGTAAAATTTTCGTCAATTTTCCTCATATTCGGGCAGATTTTTGAGGTTTTCCACAGGAAAACTTGAGGCAAATTTCTACGAGACTGTAAGAAAATTGATTTAAGGGTGGGGAGCCGGGGTTAAGAGAAGAAGTAAGCCAAATTGGTATCGCACCATACTCAGGATTTTTGTTCAGGTGGTGTACTCTCAGTTTTGTGCCCTCCTCCGGGCTCTTTCACTTTTACGATGTCTTCATTACATTCCATAAGCGTATCGTAAAAGAGGCAGAGATATTGCTACAAATTGATGCTATAATAACTGTTTTCTCAACCATTAAATGGGAGTTATTCAGCCCAGTGATGCCAGATGCATTTGCAATAAAGTATCTACGAGATTGACGAATGTTTTCATTTCAGAGAACTTCGTAGAAGCTCGAAGAACTCCTTTAAAGTAAAGGCAACCTTGTAGAATGTCAAGCAACTTAATAGGTTTCAAAGAAAACCGTAGATCTTTCCAAAACTTTGAAGACGTTAATTGAACTGCGTAGAAGTTCTGGAAAATTCCTTCAAGTGCAGCAAATTTTATAAAAGCTCTAGCTCTGTAAAAGCTCAGCAAGCTTTGTAGAAGCTCAGACAACTTAATATTTCAGAACTTTATAGTTGAGTACTGCCTGTGTATGTGTGGACTACACACTTAGAAATACCTAATCTTACACGTGACGGAATCCATTTTTGACATAAAGAATGAGACGTAAACCAACATGTCATGTAAAATTAAGTGCTCCGAGACTGAAAACTTCGAATGTACGTTTTATTGAGCTGATTTTTGCATCTATTATGACTCAATGTTATGTCAGTCTCAGAGCACCTTAATTTACATGATATTTTCTAAGTGTGTAGACAAGACTAGATTAATTTCATCCAGTTTTATAGAAGTCCAGAAAGCTTTGTAGAACTTCATCAAAACTTGTTGAAAATTTGCTGTGTGTATTTTGTAGAAGGGGAGCTCTGCCAAAATTGTAGAAGCTCAGCAAACTTCGTAGAAGTTCCTAGAATTTTTATCATCCGGATTTAATTTGGGCGTATGCTGGAAGTTTCTGGATTTTTTTTTTCGCCCAGATGTTAAATTCATAGAGAAGGTTGAAGCTCTATCCTGAACTTTAGATATGGTCATAAATGTTCTGAGATGTTGATCAAATTGCGATAACTTGGAAAAACATATATTATGGAACTTGGAAGAAGTTGATGAGACTTCGTTGAAGTTGAGAAAATATTCAAAAAGTGAAGAAAATCGACAATTCAAGGAACATTGACGCAATTTGTCCACCCCTTAGAATTTTTGAGTGGTAAATGCCACCATCGCGAGCTGCTAAGTACGGTGCTTGCCGCACCCTATACTATAAATAAAATGATTACCCCGTAGAATGCTTCCAGGTACACAAGAACCTCCATTTACGAACCAAACCGGGGGTTTTTGTGCTGAAATTCGGTAATTTTGACCAACTTTTCATTAAATCGTTGCTCGAAAACCTCTCTTCTATATAATCGAAGCAGCAGAACTAATCTTCCAACACATTCCCCATTGCAGGAAGATCTCCTGATACACGGCGACTCGGTGTACGACATCATCGACAAGCAGGACCACGGTGCCATCCAGGCCGAGCTGGGCCGGGGAGTCCCGCAGCATCAAACCAATCACCACAGCCACCACGGGCACGGGAGTTCTTCCCAGCTGGACGGTGAGCAGCGGATATTCCTCTGCCGAATGAACGTCAGCCGGAATGCCCGGCGACAGATGCGATTCGGCGATCAAAAGGTCCGTTTTTGATGACTGGTCGTGTTCTGATGTAATGATTTTTGTTTTTCAATTCAACAGGTCGTCCTGGTGCAGGGACACTACCTCTCGTACCTTCCACTGTGCAGCCGAAACGAGCCGGTATTCATTGCAACGTGCACTCCGATCGCCATGCCCGAGACGCGCGAATGCGTCGTCCAGGGAGCGACCACCGTCTTCACCACGATCCACTCGATGGACATGAAGATTGTGCATATAGATAAAAAGTGAGTATCAATGTTTGCTTCGTAACGGAACCGTTTGTAGTAGAAGATCCATCATCGATCTAGGCACAACGAATGCCAATTTTTGCAAAGAAGCCCGTGAAATTTGAATGAAAGATCAATTATTCATGAGAAACTGTTGGAGCAAACGCGGGAGGGAGTCTGCATATGGGTTGGTAGTTACGTAAGTGTGTCGAATATCCCACCGAGAGCTAAAACTGCGCGCGAGGGGGTCCCAGAGTTGGCAAGACAAAGATGACTATTCAATCCACGCTCTCGTGTGCGTTCTCCGGAGCTATTAAAGTATTATTCGCAGCGACAGTTAAGTTGACAGAGCGTGTGATGATGGACTGCTGACAGACGACCAACGACGACGACGACGACGACGAGAAATAAGTTTTAGGGGGCCATTAAAGACGAATGTGCATTATCTCTCATAGGTACGAATTGTGGGAGCAGAAATCAAAACCATTTGCCTCTGATGGATGTTGCGCGTCCAAGATGAAGGGATCGTATTTAGATTAGAAGCTGTCGTTTGGACAAGATATTTGAGTTGAAAAGTTTTGTGTAGCAGAAGAAATGAGTAAAGACTTGAGTGCTTTCGGGTCACTTCGAGGGGCGATACAGATTAGATTGCGAATTTAATGGGACCTCGTTCCCACAGTTTGAGTCGATTGGGACGTGTAGGTTCGTTTCTGAACATTGTTTCGGTGGTGAAATGATGACACATTTTTGGGTGATTACTTCTACTGGAAGATACGTATCTTAACAAATAGCGAATAAGTCATATCCAGACCAAGTCTACACCAGCGGAGAATGTACCCCCAAATAGCTGGCCTGGACTATACGATCAGCATCCACCCCCATCCCCCTTTATCATTCTAAACTCGACAGCTAATAAGGAGGTCACTGAATAGGTTAAACAGTGCCTCTCGACGACGTGACAACGATCGTATTTTGCCAGCATTTTATGTTTGGACCTCGAGGACAGACAGCAACAAACAACAACTCTCAGCCATCAGTAGTGTCCTCCCTCCGTCGCAGTCACCGTTGTCGTCGTCGGAACTTGTTGTTTGACTGCCTACGGAAAAGGCAGGAAAACATACGTTTTTATTGGAATTCTCCTCACCTCCGTGGGCTTTCCTTGCTCGATGGACCAACAACGACAGACACAATGAATGCTTCATAATATTTATATTGCACGGGGAGGACTTGCATTAAACATTCCTATACAACGGCAGGTACGCCTCATTGCAGTTGCACACATGCCATAGCTGCCGTTGATCATGTTGCTAACGGGCTAACCTCTGCCTCTGCGCCGACACACGCCAAATCGCGCACCGATCGCAAATTTTATGTTGTTTATGGCAGAACGGGGTGATTGCGGTGGCATCGAGGACATTGCTGTGGAATAATTGGTGGAATCTTTGCAGAGGAACGCACTATTGTGGGAGTGTTGGCGGGAAAATATCACTAGGCCATAGCACAAGAGCCAATGTGTGCTAATTGAATTGTTTCATATGAGAAGCTAATTTCAATCCGTTCATTAGCATTTGTGGGAGCCGAAGGCGGCCAAACCTACCTAGGGATGATTTACTGAAACTCGAGGTTTCTGATATTGAATATGCAATGCAGTGTGTAGAGCACGTGACGTAGCTTCTCGAACAAGTATCTAGGGTAGAATTCGATGAGATGTTTAGCTTACAGGATTTAGGAGGTTTTCTTCGTCCAAGGTTGGGAAAATTGTCTGCACCCAAAATTTAAATAAAATCTACTTCACCGACAGGGATATAGCCAGCGGGGGTGACTGATGCCTCATCTGAAATGTTTGGGTTGGATTAGATCTATGATCAATAAATAGTATATTTCAAACAAAGCGTCCTTCCAAAACTGATTCATACGATGTCTCTATCAAATATCATAGATATCTAGAATTATTATGCAGGGTGTCTCAGAAAGTAAAAGCACATTTTTAACAATCCACCATTTCTATCCCGATAACGTTTAGCAGCTGCTCATCGGTTGCGTTGTTGTTTACTTAAGGTACATAATACTTTGGGGTGATGTCCAAATATTCCAGCATAGTTTTTTGACGCATCATTTCAGTTTGAAAAATGCTCTTGTCTTTACATTCCATTTGCTATGTTACACAAAATAACACGAGCTTTTTGCAATCTGAAATGATGCGCTGGAAAAAAAACTGGGTTCATTTTTTTGAAAATGCTTCATAGTAAATTGAACCTTAATGCTCAATAAATCTGTGTGCCGAAAATAAAAATGCGTAAAGAGTAAATCAAAACATTGAACGCCGCGTGAAGGTGGAACTTAATGAAGACCAAAATACTTGTTCGTAGCTTTTAGTTTTCGGTTTTGAAAGATTGTTGGTTGTAGTGGCTTGCTTACTGAGCAAAAAAAGTTAAGGGTTGTGTTCAAAGCTCGACCGCATTGTTGACGTAGAACTACGAGATTGTTTTTGATGCTCCATTCACTAATATGTTAATAACAAAATAAATGGTTTAAAAAATTAACTCTAAAATGAACAATTCATTATTCAAATTTTTGAAATTGGGTGGTCATTGAATAAATCCTAAAATTTGGCCGCTTTCTTGTTGGCTATACACATTCGAACGCGTTCAGCAACGGTCCACGTTTTTTTCGCAGGTTACCATGCTTCCTGGTCTCTCACGCGCTTCCGGTAATCGCGGAGATATTTAGCAGCCATGCGTTGAGACATTTTGAAGATTTTTACAGAATTTCTCAATAAGCACTTGTTTTACTTCGAATATGGACTCTATCCATCGCAGAGTGCAAACACTAAAGCACTTACTGTACCAATTATAATTTACAGAGAATGCTACAATGCATAATCACGATGGTGTTTCAATATGATGTCTGTGTTTGGGAAACAATCACAAAATTAAATTTTGATTGCCTTTCTTTTTGCACACGCCGGTAAACTACACAGACTCCTTCCATCATGAGTAGTTTGCTATCAAGTAGCGACACTCTCCTTTTGCGTAGTTTGCCAATGTCAATACCTTGAAAGCAAACGGCAATTAACGAGTTATTAACGAAAGATGAAGAGTATCGATCAAAATCACCTGCACCCCTGCTTCCAAGTTTTGTTACAAGATTACAACTCTGAAGAGCATTTTGTGTGGTCGTTGGGGGCGTGTGGTTCTGAATATGGAAAAACAGGCAAAGATAAATTCAACTCCAACTCTTTACTGTAATAAGCTTGTTGGCCCTGAAAAGGGCGGTTTTGTTACCAAAGTTGATGATAATTTAACCTCCGGAGCCGTACAATGTGCGTCTGTCGCTTCAAAGCGTAGACGACATCAATGGCCGCTTACACTTGGCGTGTTCAGAGTAGGTGACAGCATCACGGATCACATTTTCCAGGAACACCTTCAGCACACCTCGTATATCAGACCGGAGGTAGGACCTTTTCCTCCTATGCCACGACCAGTCTTTGTTGCTTGTTGGGTAGATGAGTGGAGTACCTAACCTGCCACTACCTTCCTACTGCTGCTATTGCTGCTTCTACTTAAAGCAGAATGATGTGCAACCAAGTGGTACTCGATTATGACGACTGGGTTTGGGAAGAACGTTTACTACATGAAAACAGTGATAAAAATTTTCGCTTTTTATTTGTACATTGGACAATGCTTGACATTACCACTTTTTCAATAGTTTTTTGAATTAGCCGGAAGCAAATTGCGTAGCAATATTTCTGATCAATTGATGATAAAATTATTGAAATTGGTCCAGGGGCAGCTGAGTCATTAATGTTCAAAATCTTTCGTAATTTTGTTACATGTTCCATTTTCGATTTTCACATAGTGTACCTCCATATAGAAATCACAGACGTAGTCCTACATCAAAACGCGGTTCCATGTCCTTTCATATTAAAGAGATTTATGGTCAAATTAATTGTTTATCCTGTATTTTCCGAAACTTGTCGTCGTCATCGGTGCCGGGTTTGAAGGATTAGAACAACTCGTGTAACGGTATTATGTGATATGAGGGGCTCGATGGCCTTAGAGTGACCATTTTTACGCTTACTGAGCAAAACATCATGATTCTAATCTCAGGCCCAGTCACATTCAAGATTCGTCCATTGCTTTATTTGTTAATATGATTATATGGTAATAAGAGCAACTCGAAGGAGCTCGTTTGCCTAGTGGCAAACGTTTTTGCTTACTGAACAGAAGACCGTGAGTTCAATCACAAGCTCCTTCGCGTTATATGGTCGTTAGGACATCAATTCAGCTTATCGTTTACCAAAACGAACCTTGCTGCAAACCCAACCCTCTTACCCAACATCCCAGTTATTGCTCGTGGATGTGCATAGAGTTTCTCTGCTTCCATCAGAGCAAGTGTCACGTCAACACATTCCTACCCATTCCTTTCTTGACATACGGTCGGGCGCGGCAGGCGCTGGTGTTGTCTAGTTTGAGATCACCAGTTTTTACATATTGAGGATGATTGCTAGTTCCAAGCATCGTCTACTGTGTAATTACAGCAGATTTGGCATTCAAAAAATTGGTGAAAATTGAGAAAGCAAGTGTCGGAACAATCCATACCGCCATCAGGATGTTCGATCAAAATGTTACCTTCCAGGACATACCGAAATCTTGTCGAAACCCGGGACCTATAAACTGAAAGATCACCCAAGCGGGAGCGACCCCGGCGTAGCGCTTAGCATCCATACCTCTCACACCAAAGTCACGAGTTCAAATCTCACCCCCAGACAAGTCACGAATGACCCAAGAGCTTTAAAGTGACTACACAGTTCGAAAAAGTAGTGTAAATTTCCGTTACTATGATGCACATAAGTGGATCGTCAAATATCATCCAAGATTACATTATAGATCATATAAATTTTTGAGACATGTCATGAGATATTCCATAAATTGTATGCAACCATCCATCATTGTAAGCAACATTACTTGCAAGTTGCTGGTTTACGTGAAAATGAAGTTTACGTGCATGAATGTTTG